AAGTTATTTTTAAGTACTTAATACACATCTGCAAATAACTTATAGGCAAAATAAGAAATTACTAAAATTATGGTTTGGTTTTTAATTTTAATTACATCCCAGGATTTCCAGTGGTCCACTCATGACCACATCATTAGAGAATTCTGAAGGTGCCAATGAAAATTATTATCACTTTGAGGTGAGGTGTTGCTTTTATCTGCCTAAGCTGGTTACAAAATCTTCCCTACATGGATCCCTGTCTTTTATTTTTTGACAGGTTGGAGTGGGTGGTCCTGCAACTGCACAAAACGGTCTTGCAGATATGTGACTCTCCTCACTGTCATCATTCATAATGGCATTTGCTTTTAGCTTTTGGTTTAATAATTCATGAGCAAAGATTGCATAAGTTTATGATTACACTGCACATTTTACTTCTAAAAGCAAATTTTCCCACAGTCTGTTCACAGTGTTTTTATTTTATTTATTTTTTTCATTTTGTAAAAAAAAAAAGTTAGAACAAAAATGCAAAGCAACATTTACAGAGTTAAGCAAACGTAACACAAACTGCTATACATTAGTCATTTTCACCATTATTGAGATCAATTTTGGCCTATTAAAATAGATTAATTTACAACACACTTTAGCGCTCACCTAGCATACAAGTTTTTACATGTTAGATTGTGCATATCATTGAGGTTTAATCTAAACATCTAGAAGTCTCTCTCCTCTCTACACAAGATAATCTTAGTTTAAGGCTCTGGCATAAACCCCAGCATGGATTCTAGCCACCAACAATATTTTGCACATCATCTGTCAGAAAAATGAAACACAGAGTGAGTTTCTGTTAACATGTCTGTTTCTTTCAGACAGATATACTCAGAGACTTGCCTTTAAAACTTATGAAGTAAAGTTTGGGGCTTGTTGACCTAGACATGATGAAAAAGAGAAAGGGGTCCAGACAGGCATGGAGACAGCACAAGCACACTGCCAAGTTAAAGTGCACATACAAATGTTCTGTTCCTCTTACAGATAGCAACATATAATGGAGGAAGTGCAGGACCCCAGCAGGGAGGAAACACACCACAAAGATGCCAAATATTAGTGAACTGGCCTTGATGTACATTGCCCAGTCAAAATGTGATCGGCTGAGTTCTGTTATGATTTGGATGAAGCAAACAACTGTGATCACCAGGGGTACCAAAAGACAGAGAACCGTTAGAACCAGGTTGTAGTAAAGCAGGAAGTTATGAGAGTTGAAATCCAGAGGCAGTACATCGTGGCAGGTGGTGCGCTTCAGATCACTGACCCAAAAGCTTTGCTGAACCAGGAGGTGAGGAATGATGGCCACACCAAACACTCCCCAGACTGCCACAATAATCCAGGCGGTGCACGTCATCTTTGGGAAACTTTTGTACATGAAGGGGTGCACCACAGCCAAGTAGCGCTTAACAGTAATGCAGGCCAGAGTTAGGGCTGAGCAGTAGAGATTACCATAGAAGCAGGCTGTGATTATCCTACAGGCAGCCTCCCCGAGTACCCAGCGGTTTCCACTGAAATGGTAGTGAGCCTTGAAGGAGAGGGAGAGGAGGAGGAGAAGGTCGGAGACAGCCAGACTGCTGTAGAGGATGGCAGAGTAAACCTTTCGAACTTTGGTCACGAGCAAGCGCAAGATTACGATGTTTGCCGGGATTCCAACCGTAACCACTATCACATAAAATATGGGGATGATCTTGGTGCTCAGGGGCCCTGTAAGGTACCCAATGGCACTGCCATTTAGTAACTGCAGAGCTGCATTGGAGTGAGTCAAACTGGGAACTTGGGTGCCATTCAGTTCATTCTCTGTTTGTCTAATGGAGTTTGGTATCCATCCTTTAAAGGTTCTGGGCTCAGGAACATAGAGGCTGGAGCTGTTATTTTCTGCTTTCATTCTCCTGTTCCCTACAACAGAAACAAGAACATCAAAAATCAGTTTCTTCTCAGTTATTCGAGGTAATAACTTAATTGAAATAACTTTGGTTCCTTAATCCTTAAAATATACACTAAATAAAGGTCTAGAATTTCCAGAAGGAAGGCATATTGACAGATGCGTCAGAGTTTTAAACTGAGGAAGTTGGGTTAAAGCTGTCTTGGAAAAATAAATAATCCTTTAAAGTCCGACATTTCTTCTCAGGCCAAGTGTCAGTGACCTCTTTTGCTTACTTTAAAAATGTTATTATGTTTTATGATTTTACTCTTTATCTTCTGTTTTCTCTCGGACAAAGTGTTTTAAGATCAGGATAATTTTGCTTTAGAAGTAATCATTCTTGTTGCTGTTTATCAAACATCATTCTCTCCTTGGCTCAGTTTGTCTGTTTGGATAACGTGCTGCAGTAATGCGTATTTGAAACTGCCTCAGGGCACACATTCTGTACCACTGCCTGTGTGACATGATGTGTGTCTTGCAAGTGCAATAAAACCTGTTGACCATTTTCACAGAGTACTTTTATTCTTGGGTCTCGTGTTTCTGCCTAGGTAAAATAACAATTTCCATGACAATAGCCATTTTGATTAAACCTTGAAAATAACTGTAGAAATAATGCATTGTTCAAAACAGTATGTCCAAATAAAACAGGAATCCACTGGATTCTTCTTAAAACTTTATTTTTTCTAGTCAGGGGTCCAAGCCCATGGAAGCAGGGTAACGCAGCTCATGTTTCCAGCAGAGCATGGAACCCTATTGTATCTGTTCCGTTTTTTTATTTTTATTTTTTTCTTCCGTCGGTAAAACTCATACTGGAGCCCAAACCACAAGGGCTGTGAAGAAGATTTTACCAGGATAGTTAAATAGGGTTACGTGTGTAGGGATGAGTTATTTATGCAAATAACTACCTTACATCTTCTCATAACAAAGTTATAAGAGTAAATTTTACCAAGGT